TAGATGCAGCCAAATATCTTGTAGACACTAGTGAATTATTTAAAACTGAAGGCATAAAAGTACAAAATGCATGGGTACATGTAAATGGCATAACTTCACAACCCATGAAGAGTGGGGTGAGTTTGTTCAAAACCCAAACACATCCAGTGCTGATGTGCAAATTAATGAAATCTTCACAAATTGTCAAAACAATATTTGCACTGCTGATGTTCATAATCCAGACAGAGAAGAAGACACCAAAAGGATTACCAGTGTTTCCTGTCAAAATGTTATATGTATTAGATGAAGACCTTTTTTATAAACATGCTCAACTAATGGCTGCTTATTAACATGATGTACTTTTCAACTTAACACTTTACAAATGCAACACTTCTTAGTTCCAAAAGAGGCAAAGGACAGCACTTCATAGAATAATTACCGCATACCATGAGGTCGCTTGAAGGAGCCTTTGATTTCTTGATTTCTTAAAATACTGATTAAAGCCTGGTTTGTAAAAAATGCCTGTTGATACAGATGTTGAACAAGTGCTGGTGAAATTATGGTAGGATGTGCTGGCAGAGGTGAAGAAGGTGTAAAAGGTAATGGCTGTTGTATGGGTGGTGTAACTTCTGGGGATGATGATGGTATTCTTTCTGGTGTTGCTGATTTTCTTTCAGATGATGGTTGTGATGCTGATGGTGTTGGTATTAGATTAGTTTCAGATGACGGTTGTGATCTGAGGGTGTTGGTATTAGATCAGTTTCAGATGATGGTTGTGATGCTGAGGGTGTTGTTTCTTCAGATATTCGTGGAGAAGGTGGAATATTGTGACATTTATATCAAATAATAAGGTGGAGTATTGTTCTGGAGTGTTATGATGGAAAGATTTCTCTCTGCAGTCCAGCACTCTTGAGGCTCATCTATAGATCAGAGGTTAGCCAACAGCAGGTATTACAAACATGATTCAAATGTTAGAGTTGTTTACTGTTAATCAAAATATTGGAAAGTGTTTTTTTAATCAAGTCCTCCTTTGCAATATCCTCAAAGGGGGTGGAAAGGGAAGGGTAGAAAAAAGAAAGAAACCACTGCTGAAGTTAAATCTCTCGTACTTAATAATTACCTCCTCAGAGTGGTGATCTTAAACGCCTACAGTTGAAAGAGTTTGTTTAATGATGATTATATATATTTTAGAGTTCACTTACGTAGTTTTGAACTAGTTTGCTCCAAGATTGTCTTGCCGTTCTCTTTACAGTTCTCTCCCATATGGATTCGGTTGTTCAGTAAAATTCAGATCCAAAGGCCTTTTGTTTTTAGACTGAAGTGCATAATTATTGTTTTGTATCAAGACCGTAGGCTACTTAAATGTAAGTGATAGCTTTTCTTCCACTAATGTTGAATTCTTGTTCGTCTTAAATAATAATGCAACATGGTTGTATGTACAGATATAAAGTATAAAGCATCACTTACCACGTAACTTGAGAATGTAACCCTACACCTGACTACCTTCCCAGTTCAAAATCACATATTGGTTTTCCCTAATTTTATTTCTGTACCCTTCGCAGATCGCCACAGTTGGCGCAGTGCCAACATTTCTGCCGACGGGAAAATAAAAAAGAGAGTATTTATAGACCTTGTCTCTCAGGCGTGAGGTGGGCATATCTGAAGAGAAATATTTTACACAGCCATGAGTAGCAAGTATGAAGATTTCAGAATAAGATTTTGCAGACAAGGAGGAGAAAAGTCACAACTCGCATTTTCACAGGCGAATGAATATCCTTATTTATTGAACAACTGTTTACAGTACAAAACATTGGAATTTCAATACTAAAACCTCGCGTTAGATTTTGGATTCAAAATCTCCAGAAAGGTGATCAAACCGAGACATTGTTATTTTGGATTTGCTCATCTGTGTAAACTGCAAAATGAATCCATTCCGGAAAAATGTTCTATGTACAGGGTTAAGATAGTTTTTAGGGTAAACTTGTATCGTGGCGTGGCAGAGACAAAGGCTTGGAAACCGTTATCGTTTGAAGTGCAAACAAAGGTGAAAATAAATATTTAGAATTACAAGGAAATACCAACAAAATTTC